AGTGTGAGGTAATTGCGATAGCGAATATGATTAGTTAACTGGTTTAGGATTTTAGAATAACGTAATTGCAAATTAGTTTAGAACATTGCCAAATAAATTAAATGAGCTATAATTATAATTAGGAAGTTTGATATTGAGATAAGAATTCCTAACTAATATTTATGTAAAGTTATTTAGGAATTTTTGAATAAAATATTGTTAGGGAGAAGTTATAATTTAAAGTAAATAGTTATAAGGACCACTAATACTATTATTGAATCACGCTTGGAGGTTAATTAGTTGAAATTATTAAGTGTATATATGTAAGTGTGATGGATGATATATGTAGCTTGAAGTTGATGGGCTATCTAAATTGATTGATCTAATGATTGAAAAATAAGGTTATGGCGGACGGGTTGAGTTGTTGTGAATTGCCCGACGGATGGGCTGCGTGCATTGATTAATAAATATATAATATTATTGTGATATTTAAACAGGTAGATAGTCCTAATTTTAGGGGAGGTGCTGCCGAAATTTCGATGGAACTTAGACTGGTTTTAATTAATAACATAGTTAATAAATTTATTTAGATTAGTTCTATAACTTAATACATAATAAATAGAGTATTCTAATTATTTTATGATTATCATCATTATTCATTCAATTATTCAATTACTTATTTATTTTCATTATTATTGTTTATTATTATTATTATTTATTTTATCATTTATTTATATATCGTTGCTGTTTATTGTTAATATTATTTATTTATTTATTTGCATTTGAGTATGGATGTCTAATTGTGCATTGCATTACGATGTTTGACTGATCAATATGTTTGCAATTAATTGCAATGTTTGATTAGTTGTGATGTGACAATGTTTGCCATGTTTGTGTGAAATTGGGATGAAGTGGGTCACCATGGGATTGTGAGGACGGACTACTGTTGGCCATGTATGGGGAGATCGGCGCCCCCGTGTGCACCTACTGTTACCGATACTGTTAACCACAGGATGGCCGCTTGTTGTTGCGCACTTGATAATCTAGATTTGATTGTAGCCCGCAGGGTGGCCTCCTGTTGTGAGCACATGATGATCTAGATTGGATGGAGACCACTGGTTTGCCTCCTATTAAGTATGGAAAAAAGAAAGAGAAAATGAAAAACAAATGAGAGGACTGCAATGTGAGGAATTAGAACGTCGCCAGAATGGGGGATTGGCTCCCTGTGCACAACGTCGTGTGTATGAGAGGGCGAGCCATGTGTGAGGACGGCTCGTTGGGGTTTCAGGTGGCGCCACTGACTAATTTCCACGTGATATGATTACATGAAGGTGATGACAGTTGTGAGTGCTGGTGATATGCCATTTGTGTGACTGGCTGCGTGAGCATATAACTAGTCGGATGACTAGATTAAAATGTGTACACATTTGTGTGACTGCGTGTGTTGTGCAATAATTAATACTCCTTAGAAAACTCACATGTCTTGTTTAAATTTTTCAGGAAGTAAGTTTCTCTTTCGGTTTAAGCTATTTTTCTTCGCCGCAGGGTTATAAAGAAGTTTTCCTAGTTCCATAATTATATTGCTATGTAATTATATGTATAAGAAGCTATGTATAACAAACAGTTAGTGACTCCGCAGTTGTAGAATTTTTTGTAGGATTTACGTACATTTATTCGTGTATTAACATGACATACGAAATAATATGTGAGCCCATATTAAAAATGTGAATGTATTGTTAATTGGGCCCGAAACTGTGGGAAGATGTTGTAGCTGAATAAATTTGGACGAAGAATTTTAAATAAAAATTGAAAGGTTTATTTTCCTATATGATATGGGCTGAATGTTTAAAATTAATATTGAGATAAAATTTTAGTGTTTCAGGGCTTACCTAGGGCTCTCGGGGCTCTTAAAAGCTTACGCTGGCCCAAGTGCCGGTTCCGGCCCATTGGAATCGGGTCGTGACATTTATAATGAAAAATTTAATTTATATTTTAAATAAAAAAATCAACAAAGTTATTATATTTAGTATAAGAATATTAATGTGGTTATTTTTTATTTATTTTGTTTAAATTGTTATGTCCAAGGGTGTTAATAAGAAATGAAGACAAATGAATTTCCACTGTTATAAGAAATGAAGACAAATGAATTTTCACTTAAAAATTTATTCCAAATATAATTTTGTAGAATTCAATTGAATTTTTTATTTTAAATGGTGGCATGCCAAACATAACAAATTCATTTGCAAATAAATTTTATTTGAAATTTATTTACAAATGAATTCTACGACCATGATTCATTTGTTCCAAACGGACTATAAAAGTAGTTGGTAGATTATGGAAAGTTGCCATTTCTGACCTTTACAATGTTTAATTTTCATGTAATTATAATTGCTTTCAAGTAAAGAACTAAAATATTTTATTAAATATGAGGATTATAAAAAAAGAAAAGAAGTTACTCATCCAATGAGAAAATATATACATAATAAAATATTTTTATTTTAACATAAAATAATATAACTGATAAAATTAAAAGTACAGAATTCAAATGATATAATGATACCTTTCACAAAATTTATTCAAATAAAATTCTTTTTTCCCCTGCTTTTTTTTTTTTTTTTCCACTTTCCTTCTTGACAGTTTACATTATTAAATCTAGGCCATCCACTATCACCGATGGACATGGTAGGATGCTCTCCTAAATCCTAATCCCCTAACTTCAACACAATATATCATTTGAAAACATTAAGCTAGATTAATGCTTATAACCCATGTCATTAAGGGTATGAGCATTCTTTTTCTTTTATTCTCTCTCCATAGACCACTTATTTTTAGTCTGACTATCGGCAAAAGTGCTAAAATATTGATAGTAAGGATTTCTTTATTGGACGGACCATAACCTTAGGGATAACTGAATCACTTTTTAAACATGCAGGGATTTATGTATTAATTTCGCTATAACTTGGAGACCCATTTTTATTTTTCTCTTATAATACGTGTGGCAAGAGCTACATGTACCCAAGCCTTCTATTTAAATATGAATATTGTAAGAAAAAAAAAGTACGTTGACAGCCTTCAGACTTAATGAAAACAATGGGCATTAAAATTTAGATTTTGAAAAAAAAAAAAAGAGTCTAGTTACTTATTTAATTATAAAATTAAAATTTTTTAATATTATCACAAATCTCCATACTCTTGTATATAAAAATATTATCATTTCAAGATTCGTGACTATATCTCTTTAAAAGTATCTTTTTCTTATATTAAACCATGATCTTCTAGAGGTCGTTACTTGAAAAATAAAATAGAAAATGAATATATAAATATAAAAGATAGATGAGACACACATATACTTTAGACATTTGAGGAAGTATTTTTTGGCTTTCTCTCAAATAGCCACATTAGTGGTGTTATAACCTCCATCAACCACTGTACTCAAATCATTCACACGCTTATGTTTTTGTTCGGCAATAACATTTGAGGAAGCTTTTAGAGTTTTAATTACGTTAAAATATTATTTTTGTAAATTACTTCATTCATCCCATTTTATTTGCATAGTTTGACAAAATATCCATATTAAGAATTTAGTCAATAAAAATTATTTTACCATTTTTTTACCCTTAACTCATTGAAGATATTAATAGAAGTCCCTCATTTAATGAATGATCATAAAAGTTATCATAGTCAATAAAAATTATTTTACCATTTTTTTACCCTTAACTCATTGAAGATATTAATAGAAGTCCCTCATTTAATGAATGATCATAAAAGTTATCATAGGAAAAATAATTATTTACAGATATAAATTTAGAAACCTTATAAATATTTTGGGACATCCAAAAAAGGAATAACTAGCAAACAAAATGGGCTAGAGAGAGTATATTGTTCGATAAGATAATATATAAAATAGCTGTTAGTGGATAAATAGCGTTTATCTAACGTTTAGAGTTTTTATTTTTTAATTGAAATTTTTTTGATGATTCTGTACTTAATTAACTTATATTATGCTTAATTAATAGGGGAATATGTGAGGAAATTATATAGTCATTTTAGAAATGATAATGATTTCAATTTATAAAATTGGACTGCACATTATAAATTGACATTCTTTTGATAGAAAAGTAAGAGCATATTATATAAATTATCTTTTCTTTTTTTACAATGAGTTCACTTTTACAGTCATAAGTTAAAATTCTAACTCAATATTTAAATGTCATTTTTTATCATTTAAAATTCAACAGTTAATCAAACAGTTATTTTTACCGAATATTTTTACTTTTACTCTAGATAGTTATATCAACACCTAATCAAACAGATAGTTTTTTTCAAACACGTTTACTTTGAACACTTATATGGAAATTCCTTGCCTAGACAGGGCGACTTTATCCCTTTTTTCCCGCGTATGGTCAGAAATACTCTCGTTTCAATAAAAAAAAAACCTTATTTTCATTGATTTGGTCCATGAATGGACCATGAACCTAGTCTAAAACCTATTTTCATTGATTTGGTCCATGAATGGGACCATGAACCTAGTCTAAGTAAATTTTTCCCACTTATATAAACAGTTAACGACTAAAAACTAATATCTAACAATTAACAATTAACGGCGATTAAAACTGTTAACAACTCGTAAAACCATTAACAATTATTAAAATAGTTAGTATTGCCGAAGAGTCCCTTGCAATAATCACTCAACCTACATTATTTACCTACCCTTCGCATAAGACTATGTACACATCACACAAATAGTTAACTGCTACTGTTATTAATTTGTCCTTTTTAATGAGACTCTTGTTTGTCTTATTCATTATTATTTAGTTATTTGACTGACTTTAATTGGTTTACTCTATGAATGATTCCATACATGAATGTAGATAAATCTAATCCCTCAAAATCAATGTAGATAAAAATGGGTCACCTTCTATAACATACAAATGAGGAACATTTCCATCGGTGATTGACGAAACGCTTGAAGTGAAAATAATGCTTCGTTTTATTGATAAGAAAAACTCTTTTATTGAGAAAAGGGAAAATAATGCTTCGTTTTATTGATAAGAAAAACTCTTTTATTGAGAAAAGGGTACATAGAACAGGAACTGTAGAAATTTATTCATAACCGGTACATAATATCTCGAGCAAAATTTCTCAATCTTAAGAAAACAAGCTTTGCATTGCTATTGCAAATGACGGATTGGTGAGACTAAAACCTCCATCAACCACTAAGTTAATTCCACTAACATACTTGGATTCATCACTTGCACTTGGATTCATCACTTGCAAGATACAAAGCTGCATTTGCAATATCTTCAGGTTCCAATATCACTTCTTTCAGTGTCGCAGCTGATGCAATCACTTGCTCAACTTCTTTCTTCTCCTTATTTCCAACAGCATTTCTTAGCAGCGGAGTTGCAACTCCAAATGGTGAAATACTATTAACCCTGATGCCATATTGCCCCAATTCTATACTTAAGTTCTTTGCAAGCCCAACCACTGCATGTTTTGATGCGGTGTATGCATGTGGAGAACCTGAAGAAGAAACAGAAGCTAAACTTGAAGTAAATAATATACAACCTTTCTTGTTTGGGATCATAACCTTAGCTGCATACTTGGCACCCAAGAAAGAACCAAACACATTTACATCAAAGACTTTCTTGAAATCTTCATTTTCAGTTGACAAGATTCTTGGGTCTGGATTACCTCCAATTCCAGCATTATTGTACATTATATCGAGCTTTCCATACCTGGAGACCGCTAAATCCACAGCATTTTTTACATCAGAGTCGCTACTTACATCACAGTGAACATAAGAAATGGTTTCTGGAGAGCTGAATTCTTGGCAGAGCGATAGCCCAAGATCATCTTGTACATCTGCAATCAGAACTTTGGCTCCATGTTTTACAAATAGCCTGGCCGTACACTCTCCAATGCCGCTAGCTCCACCGGTTATCAATGCAACCTTCCCATCAAGTCTACAAATTTTCATAAATTATAATATTATTTCGACATAAAACTGTAGTAGAAATTGGATAGACAAATTTGAGTAAAATTGATATGGACAGAATTTCAACTTTCAAAATAGTAAGAAAATACAAAAAAAAAAAATTAAAATAAAATAGAAATAGAAGAATGAAAGTTTTTATAGGAAGCTAGTTACCAATTACCTTTGGTGTATTGATGTTGTTATAGGAGCTAGTCAATTTACCTTTTGGTGGTTGATGTTGCTGCCGAAATATCAGAACTCATGTTTTTGCAGAAATTGATGAAAGCAAAAGAACCTGTAAGAATGAAATCTATGGGCTTAACTTTGATTGCTGCTTCCGATATGTAAATTAATTGCATCTTTATAGACAATTATTCTAAGGGAAAATTATTATTTAATCCATCAGATTTTACATGATTATTTAAGTAATCCGCAACGTTTAATATAATATATAACTAGTCCCCAACATTTTACTCCGTCTAATTAAAAAGTTCTTCATCCAAAAACTTAGTGTTTTGCAGTTAAAATCAGTTAAAAACAAAGAGAAACATTTTATAAGGACATATTATGCCCTTATTGAACTGTGCATGAAAATAAAGGAGGTTTGACCATATTTATTTTTACAAACCGCAGAGAAAGGAAAAAAAAGGGGAAAATACCCAAACCCAAAATAGGATTTGCAGGTCTTCTTCAAGCGCAGCCGATGGAGCATGGGAAGGAAGATATGTGAATATGTATTACAAGTGTGGAAAAAAAAGCAGACATTAGGATCTAAGAGACACAAAAAGGTATGTGAATATGTATTGCATAAGTATTGCAAGCGTGGGAACTGGGCTGCCACTATTTTCGCAAATATTATAAATTCCACCCAGTTCTCATAGGGAAGCAACCAAATGAGGAAGAAAGATATGGGTTTTCGTAGGCTTGCGGTGCTTACCATTATAAGGACGTGAAGGGGAATAAGAGAAAAGATGGGATGGTGAATGGAATGCTGCTAGGTGACTACTGCGTAGGCCAAGCTTCTTGCCAGGGACGAAGGATAAGCTGTAAGTTGTGTGGGTTGATGAGCGATTAATGGATGACGCAGGGACGCATAGTCCACCACTGCCAACTACACCTACAGCTTCCATTCTTTCTCTATCTGAATCTGTCCCAAACCCCTACGAGACCAAAAATTGGTCTTTTGCTGAGGGCTTTAAGTTTAAGTAGCTGAATTCGCCATGCGATGGTATTTAATTATTCTACTATTTTTTAATATAATTTTTAGGAAAGACGTCACACCCATTACGACAAAAGGCCAATTATTTTTTAATATAATTCGTTTCCCTTGCTTGGAAGTTCATACTTATCCACGTTAGTGAGGGAAGAGTATTTTAATATTTTAGTCTTAAATTAACGGCAAAACATCAAATTTTTAAACGGAAGGACCTTTTAATTAGACAGACTAAAATATTGGAGATTAGTTATATATTATATTAAACGTCAAAGATTATTTAGATAATTATTTAAAACTTGATAGACTAAATAGTAATTTTTCCCTTAGAATAATTAGCTAGCTTGACTGAGTCGTGAATGGTGGGCGATTACAATAATATTTTATTTTAACATAAAATAATATAACTGATAAAATTAAAAGTACAGAATTCAAATGATATAAAGATACCTTTCAATAAATTTATTCAAATAAAATTCTTTTTTCCCCTGCTTTTTGTTTTTACCACTTTCCTTCTTGATACTTTACATTATTATATTGTTCAGTTTTGTTCTTTCATGCACATGTACATCAAAGTGCCGTTGGAATCAATTTATCTATCTGTATGGATCATTTCAATTGATTTGTTGACCTGCACAAGTGATGTTAATGATATTAAAACACTCAACTCTGATACAGAGGAAAGAGTAGGAAATTAAAAAAAATCATAATTAAAAGACTGTTACATGTAATTTTTTTTTTTTTTTTTTTTTTTTTTGTCTTTTTCCACTTTCCTTCTTGACACTTTACATTATTATATTGTTTTAGTGTTGTTCTTTCATGCACATGTACATCAATGTGCCGTTTGAATCGATTTATCTATCTGTATGAATCATTTCAATTGTTTTGTTAACCTGCACGGGTGATGTTAATGCTATTAAAACAATCAACTCCTGTAGGAAATTAAAAAAAAAATATAATTAAAAGATTGTTACATGTAAAATACGTGACATTTTAGTCAATAATATACAGGTGAAGATCTTTTATTATTATATAAATTGAAAATTTAGTATTTCTAAGTTATAAATTAAAACCATATGTTTCTTTCAGGAAAGTTAATCCCTTTCCCTCATTTAACCATTTGCTGGAAAAATTCTTTTTTATTTTTATTGTAAGAAAGAAAAAATTTACATCGATTATAGGAAAAACAATAAACATAGCTGGCTTTTGTTGACAAAACTCTAAAATCTTTTGTTGACAAAACTCTAAAATCTACCCTGAATCCAATTCCTGAGATATATAAGAATTTTTTATTCGATGTTTTGTCTTATATAAATTGGAATTGCATGTGACTATAAAATGAGATTCCGGTACATAAACTAATAAATGAATATAGCAAGATATTACAACTAATCTGTATGTTGTTGACCGTTTAGTTTAGCAGCCACGTCTTTCAACCCAACAGTCTAGCCGTCTAATTTTGATCATTTTATATCTATTTCTAATTTTAAAAGATCATATCTATCCAATCAGACGGTATTCTGATTGGTCTTCTCATTTATGAGGAGTGAGAAATCTGGATTTTGAGTTCTTTTTAATCACAGTTGTTTTTACTAATTTGGAGGAACATCCCTTGTTGTATAGTCTGTAATACTATTTCGACCTATAAAAACTTCCAATGAATTAAAAAAAAAAAAAATACTAATTTGGAGGAACATCCCTTGTTGTGTAGTCTGTAATACTATTTCGACCTATAAAAACTTCCAATGAATTAAAAAAAAAAAAAACCAATATATACTTGTACTATGTGTAGAACATTATTGACATCCACATTTTCTAAATAAATAGAAAGACAATAAGGGGAAACATTATTATTATATATTTGCATTTTATCAAAATTAATTACTTTATTTCTTTATTTTAAAAAAAATTATAAACGTGCACCACTATATTATATCAAAATTAACTATTTTATCCCTGTATTTTTTAAATTACATTACTTTATTTTTTTTTACTATTATACACTGTTGTGTTCTTCCGTCAAACAATTCAACTTTTTCTATTAAATGGCTTGTGAAAGTATACAAATACCTTTAACTCCATTTTAAATTTTATTTTCTGTCATATATGTTGCTTGAACCAATCAAATGAAATCAAGACGAAAACTACAATCCCACTTGCAAAAAATCAAACTTTTAGAATATAATCTCGAGGATTGATTTTTTACTATGTGGATATAGAACTTTGATCTGTGACTTTTGCAACGTATAGATACATCAAAACCTGCATTTTTTTTTTTTTTTTTTTTTTTTTTTTTTTTTGTTTGTTTTTGTTTGTTTTTGTTGTTTTTTTAGTCAAATGTGGGTTTTTTTGCCCATTGCATTTGTAAGGAAGAAGGTCTCACATGTTATTCAAGTTATTTGAGGTGCGTAAATCTTATTGAACTCGGGACAATCACAGATGAATTTATCAACTTGTTATTAGGATTTGGTTAGGAGGTGGAGGAGGTTGGGTTTGAACGTTGTGATAATGACATGTATAAGGATTTATTTATGGAGGTATATATATTATAGGGTATATATATATATAATACTGTGTAATTAGTTATATATAGAGAATAGGCTTTATTATTAATAAACAAAGTTGAGAGAGTTTGTTTTTTTAACCAAGACACTAATAATCGTCATTGATGGGGTGAGTTGAAAAGGGTAGGCGGGTGGCCAAAGGGCTTCGAAAGCCGATTCGGACACCCGACCAGTTCCGAAAACGCGAACGATTCACGATTCTAAAAACTGTAGAATCGGAACCGAATTGAAATTGGACGTTCCGGTTACAGTTTTTGAAACCAACGGGGAGGGTAGTACGGTTATAGTTTCTGGTTCCGCGGTTCTTTACAAAATAGTTTTCAAAATCGAACCGGTTCCAGCCGAGTTCTCCACCAATTTTATCGGACAAAATCGTATAATGTATAAATAAAACAGTAGAAGATATTTTTTTCTTCAAATTTTAAAATTTAAAAAATTTGTGAAATAATTTCTAAAAAAATACCCTTAAAAACATTAAGAAAATTGTAAAATAAAAAAGTAGAGAATATTTTTTCTTCAAATTTAAAATTTAAAAATTTGTGAAATAATTTCTAAAAAAAATACCCTTAAAAAATTAGAAAATGCTTGAATTTAATTTATTTAAAAAAAAGACTTGAACTTAATTTATTTTTTTTAAAAAAAATCTTCAACTTAATTTATTTTTTTTAAAAAAAAGTTGGAACTTTTTTCAAAAAAAAAAAAAGGTGGCCTTGAACTTAATTTTTTTTTTTCAAAAATTAAGTTGTCTACGTGTCCTCTTGCAATTTAGAATAATTAAAGTCCACTTATTTCTTACCGACCTTATGCCAATTTCATCCTTTTTACCTTAGTCGCTATTTCAAAAAATGGAATGAGGTATTTATAATAAATCCAAAAAATCAATTTTCCATAAATACCCTTGAAACTATGGTTTATATAACCATTTATAGTTGTTAGGAAGGGTACCTTAGGGATTTTAAAAAAATTTTGAAAAAAAAGCTGGTAGAACCGGTTGGAACCGCCAGTTGGAATCGGTAGAACCGCTGATTCTAGCCGTTTAACATAGATTCAAAATCTGGTTGGAACTGCCCGTTCAAACTGTCGGTTCCAACCGTCGGTTTTAACCGGTTGGAAAAATCGGCAGTTTCATACGGTTCTGGCCGATTCTTAGAACCACCGGTTCACGGTTCCAAAAATGGTGGAGCCAAAACCGAACCGCAGACCACCGGTTCCAGTTCTCACCGGTTCCGATTCCGGTTCCCACCGATTCGGTACCGACGGTTCTGGTTCCAGAAACCGTAATATGGCTAGGTCAAGTATTAGGGCCCACTTCCTCTCTCCTCAAACAAAGAAAAAAAACAACGATTACTCATTTTTCGTTTGATATTTTCCTCTGCTTTCCATCGTTTTCTTCCTGTGTTGAATCAATAGTTCGCGGTTTCTTCTTACCAATGATTCTAGGGTTTTATACCTCTTACCTTTGATCTATGCTTAGATTCTATTGAATCAAGCATTGCCTTGATTGACTTACTTGATTTGTGGAGTATTTTCACTTTGATTACCATATTTGGATTGATCCTTTGTAGTTGTTTACCTTAGATTGTTGATCATTGTCCATCTTTTAATACCTAGAAATCTTGTTCTTGCTTTTTCTACTCTCTTCTTTCACGCTCAAGCTCAAATCATTTCATTCACTCATCATTTTCTTCCTCTTTTATCATTAATTCCGTTGTTCGTTTTTTTGTTTGGCAACCTGAAAATACCTCAGTAAGACCTAAAAAGACAGCGTTAATTTTTTATGATTTGGTGTCCCGGATATAAGTTTGGGATGTTATTGAGCTAATGGCTTCGATTGAGGCATGTTGAGTGGTTGTACAGTCTATTTTAACTATCAATTTTATAGTGGCCATTGCTCTTCTCTTCTTTTGGGTAATATTGAATTTCCCTGATACTATATTTAGAAATGCAGAGGATATGGCTTTGGCTGATTCAGGTTGTGCTGCTCTAAAAAAAATCATGAATTGAGATTATCTTGTTTTGCTAAGAAGGCTTTGGTGAATGTTGGAGGTGATTTGGTGAAATTAGTACCTGGTCGAGTTTCAACAGAAGTGGATGCTCGGTTAGCTTATGGCACTCGTGGCATTATTAGGAAGCTTTGCTCAAGTTGCAGCTGCAGCACAAGCTGGTGCTTCTGTTATTCAGATTTTTGTTGGACACCTCAGGGATTGGGCACGCGACCATTCTGGTGAACCTGAGATAAAAGCTACTCTAAAAAGAGGAGAGGACCCTGGTTTGGCTTTCGTGACAAAAGCATATAATTACATCCACAACTATGGACATAAATCAAAGTTCATGGCAGAAGCAGCTTGTAACAAACTGGATCTTATCTTGCTGCTAATCTTTTCTCTTTCCTCAATAACGCTAAAGAAATCTCCAGCTTTATGGGAGATTGCACATTTTGGAATTGGGCATCTACTCCAAGTATATTATTAACAGCATGGTGACAGCGAAGTTCCTCGTGTGACCTCTATTGCATTCTCCATATGAGAAAGACTCTTCTTTAGTGGAAATTCAAATTACAATTGCTATGTTTGAGATATTTTATTGGCAGCGGGTTGTTTAAAACTTGAAAATAGAAATTGTACATATTTGCTGGTTTCATTTTTTCTCACTGTATATAAAGAAAGAACATTGAAAACTGAAAATTGAAAAAAAAAGTTGTACATATATAGGATTTGTATATAACTAGGTAAAGACCGGCGCATTATATATGTTATTTTTTGTTGTATATTATACTTTTAGTTTTTAATTTAATTTATAATTTATAAGTTGTTTAGTATAAAATGATTCTGAAAAATTTGATGGAGATTTAATAGTGTAATATTATTTAAAATTTTATTAAATTATTTTATTCAACGTAAATTTGAAATTATTGTGTTTAGTAATAAGAGCTAAAATTTTTAACTTTGAATATTGAATGATATTATTATATATCCCTTAATTAGTTATAGGTCTTAAACTTATTTCTTACTAACACATTTAATTAAGAGTATGTTATGACTTCATATAAAAGTTCAAACTAATTTATTTAATTTAAATTTACTAAACACATTTAATTAAGAGTATGTTATGTGACTTCATATAAAAGTTCAAACTAAATTATTATTTAATTTAATTATTGGATAATTAATTTGATATAATTAGTTTATTTAATTTAAATTTGGATAATTAATTGATATAATTAGTTTTATATAAATTAAATGTTTAAAAAAATTAGACCACCAAAACGTAATAATACCTGCTTGGTGCTTGACTAAACTGCCTCTTGCAGCACTACACGTTGCTCATGAAATATGACTCTTGTGACCATAAGAGAAGTGAGAAAAAATGAGCTTTTATGGAGATAAAGATGAGTAGGTTATAAGAAAAATCTCTTAAATATTAATTAGTTAGAGATCAGATATTGTAAGAGATATGATTAGGTTGTTAGAAGCAAAGATTAAGATAAACTTTACAATTTAAATGATTTAATATAGATAACATATAATAGAATTTAAATTTTAAAAAAAAAAAGATATTTATGCAAAGAAAAAAAAAACCTCAAAAATTTTCAAAAAAAAAAAGAAAAAATAGATAGAAAAGCTCAAAAATTTTTAAAACAAGGAAAAATATATTGCTAAAGAAGCAGAACGCCACGTAGCATTTTAAAACTATTTTTTGCTTTAAGATTATATATATATAGGTTTATCTATGTGCAAGTTGAGCATGCCAATGCAGAACTTGAGGAGGGAGTGTTAGGATTTATTAGATAGTTAGATATATATACTTGTAATTAGTTGTATATAAATAGTTCTATTCTCAATGAACAAATTGAGAGGGTTTATTTTTTCCCCAAATACCAAATCTCATCAGAGGAGGAGCAAGGGTTTTGGGGCTATAATTCTAAGGAAGAGGTTTTTGTGTCCTTTTCTACTCATTCAACGTATAAAATTGATTAAATTGGATAGAAGTACTGTAACAGGATTAAAATTATGGGAGAAAGTAGTGTATTTTTTAAAAAAAAAAAAATTGGACAAAGTATTTAACTTTGGCATTCTACAGGACACATTTATAATTTTCTTCATAAAGAAAATAGACCTGGAGATGATGGCTTTCATTCAACAGATTTGACAACCTGTATGAATGACTTTTCTCAATTCAGTTCAAGCATATATTCATAGAGCAAAATTATTTGCAAATGGTTTTGCTAAAAAGGGGTGAATGTGAATGCTGATTTCCTGGCTTGATTTAAATTTGTGTTTCTTGTTTTAGTTGATATAAGGGTTGTGTAACTTTATTGATCTTCTTATCTCAAGAGGGTCTATTATATTTATCTGAGGTTTTTCCAGGTTTTTTTTCCTTGACATCTTAAAGTAGTTTTTGATAATGAGAAGCCTATTGGCTCGAGTTTAGAATTTTGAATTTGCTAATTTTATTTTTAGTTTTAATACATAAAATAAATTAATTTTGCTGATCAAGAAAATTGGAATTTAAGCAATTTCAGAAAAATAAATAAAATTCTCACTTCCTCCATTATTTGGGGTATTTTAATGTTTGGAGAGATTTAAGATATAATACTATAAGGAGTACCTCCTTCAATATTTTTCTTCCCTTTCCTAAACAAAGGAAAACATCTTTATTTATGAGAAATATTCTCATAGTTATTTTTCCTTCCTTTTAAAATATACTCTCATCCAAACAAAGATTTATTTTTATTCTGTTATTGTAATAGCTTATTTGATATTTCGCGATTAAGGCATTGGTGGATTTTAAATTACAGAGGAAACTATAACTAATTGAATAAGCTTTATTTGATATTTCGCGATTAAGGCATGGTGGAAATTTTAAATTACAGAGGAAACCTATAAAGCTAATGGGTGCAGCTTGATAAATGTTTTTTTTTTTTTTTTTTTTTTTTTAGCAAAAAATTATTTTTATTAAATAATATTATCCATAAAAAACTTATTTTATCCTAATACTATTGCAAGCCATTAAGTCACCAACTTACACCCAACATAACCTGGATAATTTAAATAAAAAAATTAATAAATATTGTGTCACCCATTTACACTCAACTAAACTTGGATAATTGAAGTGAAAAACCAACTTTGCAAAACATCATAAACACCAAATTGGAAATACATTAGAGACAGAGACTATCCAAAAATCTTAACATAACTAATAACCAAAATGTCATAATTCCAAAAATCAAAAGACGAAACACAGATGCAGCCCACCTGCAGCAAGGCCAACAATATAAGAGAGGTTTCTTGAGAATAGAAATTCTAAATAAAGCTGACCTCGCTTCAAACCTCCAACAAACTGTTATGTATTTATTTATTTTATTATTGAGAGAAAGATTTCAGTCTGATCTATTGCGAAATTGTATATACATTTACAATTATGGTATATCTAAATGTGTTTAATTAATTATTGTTACTTAATCACTATAGATGATCCTAATTTGTGAGAAAACGTTGAATCCTGATAGAAGAAGAAATAATAATTAAAAAATCATATTCAGACGGTAAAATTTTTATCCGTTCTTTTTCTATTTTTTTTCTTTTTTAATTTTTTCTTAAGTTTCTCCACTATCATTTACTTCAATTTAGATTTTGTAAATTAGTGAACTAACCTTTTTATATTTGGTTTAACAAACAAATAACGTTTGGTTACGTGTCTTTGTTAAACATAGATATTGCGTACAGAAAATTAATCGATTAAATATTTTAAAATTAAATTAAGTAATTAATTTTACTTAGTAGTTTATCAAGTTCAAGTTTCAATCGATCTTAGTTAATTAACTAGGTTTGTGATCAATTTAATTAAATTAATTTGATCTTAATAATTAGAAATTTTACATTGACTAGGACTATGAATTTGTATTTTTGAATCAAGTAATCAATTAACTTAAAAAGCAAAGGAAAATTTAAAATGTAAATCAGACGTGATTTGATTAGTTTTTCTACCTTTCTCTTAGAAGATGTAAGAAGTGAGAGGTATCGAATTCGAGCCCTTTTCAACGTAAATGTTATCATTAATTTTGTGAATGTAATTCAAAATGAAGGGCTATCATCGGAAATATATTAGTAACCACTACATACTATCTTGATACTGCATAGAAATGAAGAAAATTTCAATGGGTGAGAATAATGCTTCCTTTTATTGATAATAATATTGAGAAAATAGTACATATATAGAGCAAGAACTATAAAAATTTATTGATAAAAGAAAATTTCAATGGGTGAGAATAATGCTTCCTTTTATTGATAATAATATTGAGAAAATAGTACATATATAGAGCAAGAACTATAAAAATTTATTGATAACCAGTGCATAATACCTTGAGCAATTATTTCTCCATCTTAAGAAAACAAGCTTTGCATTGCTATTGCAAGTGAAGGATTAGTAAGACTAAAACCTCCATCAACCACTAAGTTAATTCCACTAACATACTTGGATTCATCACTTGCAAGAAACAAAGCTGCATTAGCAATATCTTCGGTTTCCAATACCACTCCTTTCAGTGTAGCTATTGATGAAATCACTTCCTCAGCTTCTTTCTTCTCCATCATTCCGAAAGCATTTCTTAGCATAGGAGTAGCAGCAGCAAAAGTAGCAGCAGCAAATGGTGAAATACTATTAACTCGAATCCCATATTGCCCTAATTCTACACATAAGTTCTTTGCAAGCCCTACCACTGCATGTTTTGATGCTGCGTATGCATGTGGAGAATCTAAACAACAAACAGAAACTAAACTTGCAGTAAATAATATGCAACCTTTCTTGTTTGGGATCATAATTCTGGCTGCATGTTTGGTGCCCAAGAAAGCACCAAACACATTTACATCAATCACTTTCTTGAAATCTTGATTTTCAGTGGGTAAGATTCTTGTGTTGCTGAAATCTGGATTACCTAAAATTCCAGCATTGTTGAACATTATATCAAGCTTTCCATACCTGGAGACGGCCAAATCCACAGCATTTTTTACATCAGAGTCGCTACTTACATTGCAGTGGACATAAGAAATGGTTTCTGGAGAGCTGAATTCCTGGCAGAGTGACTGCCCAAGATCATCTTGTATATCTGCGATCAGCACTTTAGCTCCATGTTTCACAAATAGCCTGGCCGTACACTCCCCTATACCACTAGCTCCACCAGTTATCAACACAACCTTCCCTTCAAGCCTACAAATTTTGAAAAATTATAACGCACGAACACTTCAATTTTAAGTTTATATTTATATTTATTTCTTTTCAACATATAAACGAGTTTTTTTATATTTGTTAAAATGTTTAAAAACAATCGCATCAATCTGTATCTAACTCTGTCTATGCCTCTTAGTGCACGTTGGGTAGACAAATTTTACCATTTTAAGAACAAAATAACAACAAATAAAATAAAAGGTTTATGGGAGCTTGAAAACCTGTTAGTGATTTACCTTTTAGTGATTAATGTTACTGAAAGATCGGAACTCATACTTTCCCAGAACTTTGAGAAATAAATAACCTGTAACAATGAAATATATGCAACTAATTGTGAGTAATTGCACCTTTATAGACAGAATAATTAGCTTGGAAACGATGGTAGATAAAATATTTGATTAATTTGAACACGTAACCCCATTACAAATTGAGTTTGAAAAAAAAATGTATAAGTGTGCATAGACAGTATTAGATCTACTATACATAATTAGATTTGGTAGATAAATGTTCTAATATAACTGATAAATTTTTTTTTAAAAAAAAAAAAGAATATTATAACTGATATATAATATTCATTTTTTTTTATTCAAATTAGGTCAGCATGCCCCTCTGAATTAGTGGTGATAATTTTCTTTTAAGTGACTTGAAATGGTATAAAATCTTTTTAAATCTAAAGAAACCTAAAATGGCTTGCAAAATTGAGGGTTATGTTAAAAGTTAACCCGCTAATGTCGTGTTTCGCAATAACTTTTGAGCTGGTTTGATTAAGTCAAAACTCTATCTCTATTAATTTTACTTTTTATGAAATATTAAATACTTTAAAGTTTAGCGTTTCACAGTGATTAATTAAATTTTTTTTAACAATTATATACAAATTCACCCCTCAAGTATGTAATTTTAATTTTATGGCACTCTGAATTTTATGAATAGTCTATGATGACTGGAATTTGTAAACTTTAATAACATTGCACAATTTTCCATATTAATAGCAATAGTTTTTAAGATTTTTTATTTTTATATGCAAAATATTAATTCGATGTGAAGTTAGTATAACTTTTTAAACAATAATTTTCACGTTTTTTAACTATATAATAAGTGTTTAATTGATACCAATTTGGAAATTAAAGCGCTCAATAAAATAATTATGTAAATTAAGATGTTTAATAAGTGTAATTTTATAAGTTCAAATGTTTAATAGATCAAAATAAAAAATAAGAATCGGTCGCAAATTAGAGACCGATACAATCGGTCGCAAAATTGAATAATCGGTCGCAATTTTTGGTCGTGGTTTAATTGGAAATTCAGCCGCAAATTTGGTTGCAGAATATCGGTCGCAGTTTTTTGAAAGAGGTCGCAAATCGGTCGCAAAAATGGAAAAAAAAAATAAAAAAAAATTAAATATTATTTTGAAACCAAAATTTTTCTGCACCTGTGAAAATTAATTAAAATATTATTTTGAAAACCAAAATATTCTGCACCTGTGAAAGTTGACAATAAATGCTATATATCACACAACCTATTTCAAGAACAGTATAAAAAATGTAACTTTTTATTGTTCTGAACAATTAAAATATGAAAATAACAAATGAAAAATAAAAGTCCAAAACAATCTAGTATAATGCTGCTGCTCATCTGCAGGATTCCAGATGTCCGGATCTTCCCGATGTCGGATCGCCGGGAGGAGTAACCTGCTGGATGTGATGTAGCGCCAGGAGACCAAGGTATCGTCTGCAGCATCGGGATCAGGAGCCGATAGTGGCTGCTGCTGAGACGTCGAAACATGTCGAGACGTCGAAACATGTCGGTCTGTAGCAGGAGCAAGATCAGAGGGAGAAGTACCAGCACGGTGCTCACCAGACAGCCGCATCACATGCGCTCTAAGCTCTGCAATCTGTCTTTGCGGATCAGCAAGCTGAGCCCATATATCATCATCACAGTGTGAGTCGCTGTGCTCCGGCTGTCGTGCTGCGCTGGCTGTAGAAGCGTGAGCTGCTGACCTAGTGTAAAACTGTGATGCCTGAGACCCGATGCCGTATACCTTACTCTTCTTCTCGCCCCCGACAGCCTCGAGATAAAGTGCTACCTCGTCAATTCTTGACTCAGCTTCGGATTCATCGGTCTGAGAAGTAACAATACGCTCCCGAGCTGTAGTATAGTAGTATAGTTCTCCTGACAAACAAAAAATTAAATTAATCACTGCAATTGCAAGCCTTTTATTTATATTCAATTTGTACATCTTCGCAATGATTAGAGGGTAAATGTAAATATATTCATTGTTACTGTACATTGACGCGAGGCGGCAACAGTCTGTCGACAAAGGTATACTGATCGTGGTCCTTACGTGTGAGTGTATGTAACACTCTCATCGGTGTGGGCTCACGACCTAATTCTTTAGCCTGTAATGAATTTTTATGCATGATATATTAATATATATATTGTCCTTTCATTAAACATCAGTTTCTTGCAAAGGGACTAGTTCACTTACTAATAATCGAGCTGTCTCTATAGCAGATATAGATCCGCCTGTGTGTCGCGAAGGTCCTGCTCCATCCCCGCCAGTCTCACTGCGCCTGTTTTGTGCAAACATCTCCCGCTTTCTCTTGAATGCAGGATCCTCCCAAGCCTTTTGCCAGCTCTCCCATATCTCCTGAGACACGCACCGTTGTTTCTTACCGCTTCTTCTCATCCTATAGGTGAAGTCAGCGTATCGATCGGCGCATATCTTCTC